GATTCTTTGTGACAATCCCTACTTACGACTTGCTGGCATGTATCTTTGAACTTCTTAAAGAACTGTTCCTTCGATATTTTAGTGTTCATAATTAACTTCTTGGTGGACGAGAAGACTTGTCTACATGTTGGATTATTGATTGGTGTAATATGCTCTTCCGTTACTTGATCTCCTTCTACTCGCAGACAATTTATTCTGGCCCCATATACGTTAAACACTTCAAGTACCTTGCCAATCATCCACCCAGACATTATTTCCACTACCTTTGATGCAAGCGGTCTGACTTGTGGTGCTAATACATTACGACAAATTTGTGCAAGAGGCACAACGTCAAGCTGTCGGATGTATCGAGGATATGGAAATAATGGCGGTTTCTTGAGTAACCGCCGTTTCAATGCTCGGTAAGGTCGCGTGAGCAATACTTCTTTGAGTTTATCCTCTTCTGCAAAAGACAGAAGAGTATATATTGGGTTTATAGGTCCTTTTTGAAAAGGCGCTTGCCAGAATATAGGTATTGCTATCTCACTCCAATGTCTGTTCACGTATATGCAGGGGAGAAGTAAAGAGACATGATTATCTACTACTTCTTCATGCAGAAAGTTGAAGATTATACAGAGGGGAACATGTGTCAACTCTGCTGCTATCGAGACTTGGGAACACATGTTTGCTTCTTGGCGAGTCATACGTCTAAAAGCAAACGTTCGATGGGAATGAATAATGAAATAATGTTAAATTTTGAGTGTAGTAAATTATGTGCTACGCAATTACAAATACAACCCCAATCGTCATTTACTTAATACACGTGATCTAATGACGACTAATGTGCAGATGCGCTTGTTAAGTAGAGACACGCTTGTTAAAAATTACTGGTACAAACGTGAATTAGTTTTGCCCGAGTTATCTTCAGCTCGGAAAGTGATTATTATAAAGCGTTGGCCTCATCCATTCGTTTATACGCAGTCTCCGATGCTCTGTCCCTCTTTGTTTTAATAGATTTGGCTAATATATTGTAAGCTTTCTGCTTTTCTGGTCAATATTTGTAAATCATTGCTTCTTATGTATTCGTATTTTTCGTTCTGTCTTTTCGGTATCAACGTTTGCTCCCAAGACAAGATGATTCGATTTTAAAGGTCGTTACAGTGCTACTAGTAATTTCGTTACTATAGTGCTGGAACCTCCTTTGCAGCTTGAGGCTCAATTTTTCGCGCTTATCATGATAAAAATTCCTGAACGCTTTTTAAAGTTGTTAGTTGGGTGAACTTTTTTTAAGACATTCATAAACTTCCAGTAGTTCCGTTATTTTATTACAATTATTTAAAAGAGAAGACTTTCAATACCAAAAGCCTGGTCTTTCTTAATTTTGGTCTGCTCAAAAAATCCCCCCAAGCATGCTGGCAGATGAATATTTGAAAGTAGTTAACCAAAGAAGGACCGTCAGCTGTCAAGACGCCATTATTATTATAATTTGAAAAGAGAAAACTGATTTGAAAAGAAACAACGTGTATCAAAAGAATAGTCAGTTGATATATTATTTACATGTGCAAAGAGTTCACTCCGATCCGCTAACGTTTTGAAGGGAGGAGAAGCGTCCAGTCCAAGCTGTTAGCCATAGACTATTAACCACAAAGGCAGTAACAATTTCAAAGTTTTATCATTTCAAAAACATAAATCTTAATATCATAGTCTCCGAAAAACTGAACATCATCGATCGATCAGTTTATCTTATCTTATTTAATTTCGTATCAGAAATAAGAAAACTTTCGATACTAGTTCAAATTAAGAGGTCTTTTTTGTTTTTATTGGTTGTTTAAAATGTAATAATTTATGTTTTATTATCATACAAAAAGTTTGTCGCGAAACAGTAAATTGGCAAGTAGCGCCCGTGCAATAACTGACAAGCAAGTAAGGTTTGCATATCGTTTCCTCAAGCAGTACGAACATGACGAACGTGCATCCATCGTGTGAATCTTTTACAGCAGGGACACGTAGAAATAGATAATACTTTTGCACATGCATGTTTATGTTTGTGATACAGAGTTAACCTTAAAAATTTGAATTTACCTTGTCAAAAATTAAACCCAAAATGTTAATTATTTGAGTATGAGGTGACGAACATGTCTTACGTTATTACGAACACACAAGAAACGTAGTAAATAAATTGCGTCGCTAAATAACATGAGAACATCAACTCTTTCTTCGTGTGACCAATAAAGGACTCAACTCTTTCTTCGGTAGGTTGCGAATTTAGTGGCAAAGGTTGCGAATTTAGTGGCAATCCCACTTAAAATTGGCTTGAACACACGGCCACAGCGAGGAGGGGCGCCATAAAATACGTAAGCAAATGCCATAAAACATAGTAGATGGCCCATCTACTATTGAAGACGTAAATTGATTCCACTCATGGTAACAGATGACATAGATGATCAGTTATGCATCATATTTATTGAACTGTTTCGATGACTACTGATATAGTTATGTGATGAGCATCCAGATGTTCTTTACAGCATGCTGTAATATAATATAAGCATGTTTTTAACATAACGCAATAAGACATATCCATAGACTGTAGATAATTGCTAGAACAAAGCGTTGTACTAAAAGTCTGGATGGTAGATTCGTACAGGAGTATATTTGCGGGGTAAATCACGGGTTTTCGTTAATAGGAAATGAAGCATTTGGACAAGGACGCCTTGATCCACTAACCTTTCATAGACACAAAAGACTAGTTTTAGTGAAGAACATCTGGTTCATTAAAAATTCACATGTTCCATCGTGCATCAGGATTAGAAAGCAAAAATCGTATGTTAATCCTCAGATGGCCCAAATTTCAACACACAGACCAAACCTCAAGTGGGTGAACGATTCGTGTATATTTATCTGCTAACCCATGTTGTGAACTATATGCGCAGCATAAAAATTTGTATAGTAGGTAGGATCTGATTCGGTGACTTGGAATTCCGACAGCAAGATCATGACAGAGTGCCTTTACCTCGATTGCTAGCCCTATTTACTTGTGCATCACGAAATTGAACTCTGATTTTCCCGTGTATTCACGCAAACTCATGTCATCTACATTTACTCCTTGTAAATGAGTTTGGCTTCCTAAGGGCAAACTGTTCTTGCAAGCAACATGTGTTCCTACCGTTCTCTACGCGTGAATAGACTGACAAGATCGTTATCATCCACGTTATAATGGTGTACAGTGTTTATAAAGATATTTGCCCAAAATTTGAATCTCTGCCTACGTGCGAGTAATGTTCCGGTATGTCTGTTCTCATGGCAGAGCATTTGAAACGTTTATCGAGCATGAGAAACCCAAATTACTGAAAGTCTCAACCAATCCTTGTCATCAAAACTTGCGTATCAGTGAATACACAGATATCCGCCGAGGATTATTCTGCTAGTTGGCTGGTCTCGCAACTCTTGGCACTAACGTGCCATTGTGTGTTTCAAGCCTTTAATGATCTGTCATTTGTCGACTCTTAACCAGCTGCTGCGTGTTCCGATAAGTGCCGAGCAAAAGAACGCAGTCGATCCACTGGCAAATAATCTACAGGTTAGTTGGAGAGAATGATATAATAATGGGTGTAATGAGACAGCGTCAATGTAATCGTGTCGAATTACAATTCAAAAAAATTTTGTTCAATCCATTAGCATTTTAATGAATGATCTGTTCATACCCTATAGATAACTTGTCAAGTATGCGCACGTCCTGAACCTTTCTGAATGTCTGATCTCCGTGTACAAGCCTAAGTAGACGCGCTACGCTGCTAGTTCACCAGTCCTTCGCAGCAGCCAAGCGTAACTCTCAATCTTCTTAACAAGGACACCGTCAGTAGACGTTCTAATCGCAAGCCTCGTTTAGTCTCTCGAGTGCTGGTTCCAAGACAGCAAGTAAGCCTGAGAACTTTTTTTTTTCCGAGAGCGTTAATGCAGAGGTAATATTTGGTATCATATGCTCAATGCATAAACAAACACTGCTGCATATCCTCCCGAGAGTCGGCGAACTTTAATCGATAAAAGGAAATTTAGAAAATGGAGTTATCGTGCATTGCATTGAATATCAGTTTATCGCGGGACATGACGTTTTCTGACATTGATAGGGTAAATACTTCTTAAAATGATACCAATGAGACAAACGTTAAAAGTAACGGTGACTCATGTGACTTAAATCGAATAGCCGAGAAAAGAATGTTATCGGAGAATGTCTGATGGTGACGGGGAGTACATTTTTTCCATATTGATGTGAACAGAGCCCATTGTATGTTACTCTTTATTACCAGACAGTGAAGCTGTGCATCAAACAAATAAATTCATTTATTGCGATTATCCCGCACACTTGGAAATCGATAGCAAATATTGGTTTCACTCACCCACTCGGAATTTTTCCTCCATCACATTCATCAAATCGGGGGAAATCTTTCTTACTTTTGATACAAATGAATCATTCTGATTCCAAATGTGCCAACAAGTGGTATATTTGCACTGCGCAACAAACGAAGGCGTATTAGTATTACTTGGCGGACCACTAAACTTGGCGAATATATAGCAGATAATTTATTATAAATAAAGAATAATCAGTCAGATGATGCTGATTGGCGAATGATATGTACACGTGCACATTCCGTAGAGAAGAGTAAACGCGGATGTTTTTAAGAAATGCTTCTTTATTTTTAACCAAAACACTTATAATCTATATTCATATAAAAAATCTATATGGGGTGGGTTTTGTATGATCGTCGTATACATGTAATCATAATACATATTGGTCGAAAGCGACGAAGGAAGAAAGAAATAAAATGCTTAATGCGTATTATACAAAGAAAGAAAATCTATAGATTCTTAAAATCGAGAAGTATAAAAGTTTAAAGAGTAAAAACAAGATATAGAAACCGTAAAAGAGGCTTTTTTTAATTCCCATATTAATATATTGTCTAAATTTCAATCATTCCTCGTCGTTTTCGCCGTTATCACGGGATTTACTTGGCATAAACTCGGCATTACTGCTCGTTCTTCTTAAACTTGTTTTCCGCCCCCAATCCGACAGTCTTTTCGTTAGAATCTACGCCTGTTTCATCCACCTTTCGTTTTCGTATAACCGGTAAGAATAAATTATTTGCAATGTCGCTTGGCTTTTGTTCGATAGAAGATAGTTTGGGAAACGCCGCCAAGGGACCGTATAAAGACACTTTCTCACCACCGCTCATGACGGTAGCTCCGATTTCAGCAAAACAATGACTGTCGGATGTTTCTTCGAATGATGAGTAAACCTCTTCGTCCTCGAGTAAATATTGATCAGGTGAGGGATATAGAGAATCATTTGGGTCGGGTGAGGAATATAGAGAATCATTTGGGTTGCGTGGTGGAGACGAAAGAACAAGACCGTTCAAGTCGAGGTCTGGCGTGGTTGACGCAGAACCAGAGTTTGAATCCATGTTGTTTATAGTGAACGATAGTCGGTTAGGATATTATATAAGTGTTGGTAGGTATAATAGATATATGACAATAAGAATGTTCCGTTAAGATATAAGAGATATATATATATAATATGTATATGTGTGTGTATGCGTGTGTGTATGCGGGTATAGATGTGAAGGGTTGAGAGATGGTTAGTTATATATATATATAGTTCGGTATATATGTATATGTATATTATATGTATTCCTCGTATGTTTTTGTAGTATATATATTATAGTCTTTTTTTACGAGTTTTCTAGTTAGTTGGTTAATATATATATATGATATGGGGAGAGTGTTATTGTCTTTGAAACGTTATGTGGCGTTGTTAAATTGAAAGGAAGGTAAGTAGTATATAATATCCTGAAGATTTTGGTCAACCACAAGTTTTAGTTTGTGTAGTGTCTGTGGGTGTGCAATCCGTTTTGATGGTTGTTATATATGGTTTTTTTTACACTCTTTTCGTGTAATGTAACTAATTATGCTGATAAATGAACTACAATGAGGAATACAAGTTATAGTGGAACAATCAATGATCAGATTGACGAGTCTATTTATCTGTTTTCGTGACCAGCGCGAATATTCACTGCGGTGCTGCGGGATCTGCCGCAGAACCCCCAAAAGTGTAGTGGCCGTTCTCGCTTCTACAGTGACGGAGAATGACCAGAATTTGTTTTACTGTCATGCCTTTTGAGTTAGCGAATTCCATGCTGTGCGATGATGAAAGATGAATGGTCATGGTATGTTCCGTTCATTGGTCAACGATCGGCCGAAAGCTGAATTCAAATTTCGCTGTCCCAATTCATTCCTGGGAGAATCTTCTCGACGAGTGAATTTGACTATTGTCCGCTCTATTGTAGTCCATCTAGTGAAATATATATAAAAAAAGAAGGGCCCGGATTTAAATCTCCAGAAATTACCAATTATTAATTGTTCAACTGGTGACATATGACTAGACCAGTGATCATCAATAAACTTAACTTTGACTATCGATATAATATTGTTTACGTTACCATTATGCAGCCGCTATTATCTACCGTACATTATCATAATCACAATCATAACCATAACCATGATTATTACTATCGATATATATAAATCAGCAACGTACTCTTTAATCATTGGGAAAAGTCATCAATTATAAACCATACGATACAATTGGTTTGTTCGCTGACACAATTCTATATTTATTCACCCAACTATATAAATGCACTTGTTGCGCTAAGAAAGAATCTCTTGGTTTCACTACTTTCACATGTCAAGCACGAAAACTCCCCAGCTGACAATGAAACAAGGGATATTTATTAAATGCCTTCCACGCAATCACTTGTCCGGTGACTGGGTTTCCTAAAAAGGCCTTGTCTCTCCCGCTGTTTTGGTTATGCCATAGTTTTGTTATGTCTCAAAACCTCCCGATTGTACTTATGCGAGAGAAAAAGATTAAAGTTTGGGCTGACTAAAAACAACTCTGTTAAACACAGGCAACAAGCTACGATAAACATTGAGCGCAGAAGATAAATGGAAGGCATTAGGTAAATAGAAGGCATTAGGTAATAATCATACCACCATTTTAGAGAACAACAACAACAACAATAACAACAACAAGTGTGGTATCAATTGATGTTTGAAAATGATGATGTAATATGAGCAATTTGGCTTTTTTCTCTCTTGTATTGATGTCATATACTACATACAAATTACATCATCTGTTTGATGAAACAAGCAGCGACACAAGAGAGACGGAATTGGTTTCCGATTGAGCCGTAGGCGTAATATACGACTATGAGCTATTTTAATGTGAATGGTTGAGAGACCCCGGCATTGCAAAGAAAGCGGAAGAGAAATGGCGGAGAGTTGGTAGCGGACAATCAGTTATCTCGTCACATGTTCGGTTAAAATGCTTCACGTGATAAATCATAAATAACAAATCTATTTATTATACATCCTAAAAGCGTATATGCAGAGTAAAGAGGCAAAATGAGGATTTAAACCGTTGAGTATGCTCCGCCGTTCGTTGTTTTTTATAGCACACTTTGTTATATATATATACGTGCACAGCACCCCACACCCCCATTGTCCTTACATTCTTGCCAAGACATTTGAATATTACACTGCCGCGAATCAAGCAAATCAATGGCAGCGTAGTGTTACAATTAAGATCTGCAATTATACACCCTTGATCCCCCCCTCTCCCCTTCTTTCATCTTCTCGATAAGATGATGAATTGTGAGATGACATTAACACGTTCTCTTGTTTTATTTAATTAATCAAGTAGTTACATGTTTTCTAGTTCATACCAATTTTTTCTTGTTGGAGTGGAAGAGAAAAAGCCTTGTTAATAATACTACTCATCGAGTCCGCGATAGATAACCCTTACAAACGTTTAATTTATTAGAGAAAAGAAAAGAATAACTGATCGCTGCTGCTAAGTTGAAAAATAAAATAATAATAATAATAATAATAATAATAATAATAATAATTTAATTATAAACAAAGGTGTTACGCACATCTGTTAAAAAAGTTCTAGTGGTGCGTGATGGAACACAAGTGTACTTATTAGTAAGTATAATCGCGAGATGCATAATTGCAAGAGAATTTCAATTGCTGTCCCCTTTACCACTCTTTTTATATGACATTAAATAAATATTCTTTGAAGCTTGCAAAAGTTCAGCTGACGTTCCGGAAGCGAGGGACCGCTTCATATTTCATCCGCTATAAACACAAGTCGAATTGAGCAAAAACTTTTGAATTCAACAAACAATTGATATTAATTAGAGATTGTTTGTTTCACAACGCCTTCAAAGACTTGAATCCTAAAGAGACTCCCTCTCCGTTCAACAACCTCTTTTCTGAAAAGTTATACCCCAGTATATTACAATTGAACCTTCGTGTGTGTGATGACTCCTTAGCACTTCTTTAGATATTCTTTACCCTCAATAGGATTGGGATGGACGCTCGTTGTTCACACATCAACCGCCGAAGCATTGTGTAACTTTCGCAAGGTTTCGAGAAACTGCAAAGATAATACACGGATTCTGGCTGCTCACAATTGCCTCGTTAGAGTAACATCTCCCAAATCAAGGGTAAGAGGTGCTTGTCAGAACACAATTGTATTGGGGGTGGGAGGATCTGCGATTGTAATTTGTGGAGAGATCTTTGGTATGGTTTGTTAGACTTGTTGCCATAAGGGTATTAGTCAATTATCAAAGGAGAAACACTAGCCCATGTGTTAATGAATTATTCCGGTAGATCGTGAGGTTTTTTATTGGAGATAATCTAATGCCATTATGTGTTAATATATTCAGTGTGATACATCCAAAAAGTAATGCAAATTCCAAATTTACAAGAGTCCCAAAAAAAGAAAAAGAAAACACAAAAAAAAGAACATCATCCTCATCTTGGAAGGTAAATCCACTCCAACCTGAGATTGTTCCGTCTTCCCCCCAGGCTGTTCTCAAAATCGTTTACTCTTGACCCGCCAATAGTATATATTCGAATCAATTTCAAACATTCCGGCAAGTCAATGTCCAACCTATGCCACCTCTCTGGATTTCGTTTCCACGAGAATAAATTCAATTCTTCAATAGCAAACTCTGGACAAGATAACAGTTTTCTAAGTAACGACATGTCCGTTGGATTAAACGGGATACCGAGTTTACCGAATGTCTGCGGTAGCGTTGATATCACTTCTATCGACGTTGGTCGTAAAGGCGATGGAACGTAATTATCGGCTGGATGAAATGCTAGATTACGGAGCGTCGCAGAGTTGGTGCTAGCGAGCGAGATGAAGAGAGTCTCGAACGCGGACGTCGATGTGATAATCTGCAGCGTATGCATATGAGGAAATCTCACATCTATCAGAGGGGCAAGCTGTTGCCCTGTCGCATTCAAGCAGTTGATGATTTCGAGCTCCTCTAGCAGCCCACAAGCTTCTATTGCCTGCATGGCATTCGAATCACCAAGGAGATTAAAATCCATATACTCTAATGTAATTGACTTGAGATTGTTTGCATGTTTGCCGAGCGACCTAAGCACTTCTGTGGGCATAGTGCCATGCCCGTATATACGTATACGTCGTAACTTCCGTATGGATGATATCAACTCGACGAGAAGCAATTGGTCTGTTATCGAAATGTTTGGCGTGTCAGACATGAAAACATACTCGCCCAAATCCAATGTTGTAATAGACTCTACTGCAGGAGAGTTTTGTATAGCCGAAAACATCGACCAGTCGAATACCTTGTCGATGCAAAGCTGATTCACGGCTTGATTTAGCTGGGTAAGAGTCGATCGAAGGTCTACAAAGTCACTTTTTATTAAAATTGAAGAATCGATCGTAAGGCATCGGATCCTCGATCTTGGTCCCAAGAATAATTTGGCTAATGTCTTTGTTAGAATTCTCTTTTGTTTGTCTATTCTGAAACGAGTCCTCGATTTCATAATCCACCAGTCGTCTGCCGCATTCCACAACTGACTCAACTTTAATTCTTTCAAATAAGTAGGGTAATCGAAAAGTTTTGATTTTTGTCTTTCGGGAAGAACGATACCACTCATCGTCAACCCTCGTCGTTCCTTTCTCGATAGAAAGTTCAAATATGTGTCGATAGCGTATACACTTTGAATTATGCTGAATGGATCCGACCAACACATTGGAATGACAATAGCACACCAGGTTCTATTGACCAAGAGACACGAGTGAAGTGATTTGCGTTTGGTAGAAGGGTCGGATTCTTGACTAATGTAGAATAGTATAATGGAGAGAATGTCTAGTGGGATATCCCGGTAGGGTGTCTTTACAGTAGGTGGCTGACGTCGTGCTCTGCCAAAGAGGGATTTGAGTTTTTTGATTATTTGCATTTTTGATATATCGTATGAAAAGGTAGGGGCGCAATTAACTGGTCGGGTACTTGTCAGCTACCGTCGTCTTTGAATGCCTTTGGCTGTTATTAAGTTACACTTTACAAAATAAAAATAACGTATCTTTGATCAAAATTTAGCCGCTTTTAAGAATATTTATATTCCGACGTTTTTACTTGATACAACATAAATCTCCGCAGTGCTTGTGTCACATTGTTAGACCGCAGATAGAAGTTTTACCTTAGAATGTGTGTCTTACAATCTAAATTCGGTCGTTCTCTCGGAAGCTGAATAGCGAACAGGGGTCTTGAATGACCGGAGATTAAAGACCGAATGAAACAATGACGTATTGATTATGCGTCTCATCTTGTTGCTGGCCTGGTTAGTCATTATGATGATGGGGTTCCGATCGTTTTTTACATTCATCTCCAATCACAAATTGGACAATCGAGCATGTGAGTCAAAAAAAAGGACTTTAATTAAGGTGTTAACTATTTAAGTTTAAGATCCGCAAGTTGCATATTTCACGAGTTTTTGTTTTTGGGATATTTACAACCTCCTGAGCCACATGGGTAATCCTCGTAAAGCAAAGTCTATTAGTATGTCTTTCTTACCCACTCGGTTTTTTTGATACTCGGCACAATCTCGGCAGTCGCTTCACTAATAAAACGTTAGTCATCCGACCTGCACTTGTCAAGGCTACTTTATACGATGAACCATGTATTTTTCCGATGTTACTAGAAGATTCAGTGCATCCACAACATTTGGACAACCCCGTTCGAATGACCAATAGAGAGCGGCATCCGTTGAAAGCCTATTGCGAACGTAGCATCGATTACCAGGTAAAGTATCGGTATTTCATGACAAAACTTAGTATATTATACAGTGATTATCAATAAGAAGCCATGAATATTGTAAGATCTGTTAATATTAAGAGAAGCCAACAAATTAATCATATTTAGGCTTTTTCCACCCCCTTGCGTGTATCCAATTCCGGGTCAACTGATAAGTTTCAGGTTAACTATACTAATACCTTATTCAGAGTGCCGCAGCCGCAGCCGCAGCAACACAATAACCGATGTGGCGAGAAGAACGGGTCATGTTACCCCTCTGTAAAAAGAACAATATGTGGAATCTTCCCTTGCATATCTGTGATGATCTTTCGCAACAGAACATTACGAATTTTTTGTGCAACAAATAAGAACCTATTGTTACAGACCCTTACGTAAAAACAGAAATTCTTAATTTGATGGGCTCGTTTAATTAGATTATGTTTGTTGTACTGATATACTCCGTTCTTCAGATTATTCTCATACGGTTAATTAGAATTGAATTTCCAAGCATATATATAATACGCTGTCTTTCTCTCGGGGTGCACAATTATTGAATAATCTTACCGGCAACTGAACTGGATCACGATATGGAATTCGAGAATGATACCTCAAATACCCGACTCTGCTTCCAAAGTCCCCTTTTGTCAATATATCGGTCTCCTCAACTCACTCGTCAGTCTATGTATTGTATACCCTGTTGCGACGACGAAGATGATTCGTTTTATGTCAACGAATCTGACGAAAAGTTTTTCGCCAATTGTCCAGTATAATGAGACTTATTTTCAATGTCTTATATGGGGCATGCTGCAACAAAACCAGACAAAGTGAACATTCTATTATGTAACCTAAATGAGAGGCTGATGTGGCT